GTTGGAAAACAGAGGAAATAATGAAACTGTATGGAAATTGTCTATTTGATGCTAATACTGAAGATATATTCGTTTTTATGCCATTATTCCTCACTAAATTCTCCCTTGGATAATTTACTTTAAGAAGAGGATATAACTTGGGTGGTTTAGTGACTTAGGTATTCTCTGAAGATCATATAATTTGCTTTGATTTTGAATAATATTTGTACAAATATAATGAAGTCCTGAAATGAATTTCGGTATCTAAAATCTATTGTATTCCTAACTATGATCTGCTACCTTACTTAGCAACATGTTCTTAATAATTTTCCTTGATCTTTCATATTATGTTATTTGACCAAGTGAAAATGTAGCCCTATTCCCCATCTCTATAAACTTAGATTGATAGAGGAATTGATTAAAAGTTTTGGTTTTGAGTCTTTGTCTATCTCTGTCACCTTCTTTCTCTGTCGCAAAGGAGATGTCATTCAAATCACCCATGCATAGCCATGGTTTGTTCAAATTTCTAGAGCCGTTAGCTATAAGAGAGGAAAGATTTCTTCGTTCACCGAATTATGGGCAAACTTAAATAAATGAGAGCCTCCACTTTCCCAAAAGGTTATGAAAAGAGCATTGGCCATCCAAAAAGAAAAAAAGATGGGAACATTCAGTAAAGTGAAAATTGTTCGAAAAAACTAACTCCAGCAAGACCGATAGACTCCAAAAGTGAAAAACTCAAATTAACTACTCTGATTTCTTCAACTTTATTTTCTCTAGCTTTTGTTTCAAGAAGGCAAATTGGTGAGGATCTAAACTGGACATCCCTGACCTTTAATGGTTGGATTGTCAAGGTATCCCCAACCCCTGACAATTCCTACAAAATATACTTATTTGACCCCTTGGGGCTGTTGAGGGACAACCTTCTAAACCCGTTTATTGATCAATTCCTAATGTGTTCTATAAGTTGCCACTCTGTGCTAACTCAAAGTTAGACCTCTACCAGATCGTCTTCTTATGTCTTGGGTTCATCCTTAGTAGTTTCATTTCTCTTTTTGATGAGAACATGCTTGCGATTTGTTTTGAGGCTTGTATGTCTAACTACCAAATCGGTGTTTTCTTTCTCCTTCTCCAAGTTGTTCTTAGTTTGAAAAAATAGGGAAGTCTTCCCAAAATGCTATCTGAGAGAAAAGCCAAAGGTTCACCACGTTGCATTCCCAATTTGTGACACATATAGCTATCACCACCTTCCTCTGTTAGAAATTACGCCACCTTGGGTTATGTGTTGTGAGCATCTTGTTTAATTTTTACTACTTGTTGCTCAATTTGGCACATTATTTAGCACATTTTGCTGCAATTTCCTACATTGTTACTTGCCTTGCCTGCGATTGCTGCCCGAGGTAAGGGCTTCCTGTGAGAATACATTGTGAATCTTACATTGTGAATCTTACATGATTGTGGTTGTATATGTTAGAGTCCTAGTCCTATTAGATGAGTGATTGTATTAGAGTCCTTTTTGGTTTAGGAGTTAGGGCTATATAATCTAAGGTCTGGTTGTAATCAAATATACAATTGAATATACAGAGATACAGAAATCTTACATGGTATCAGAACTTGGTTTCGAAACCCTAGCAGCCATTGTTGAAGCTTTTCTGTTTCGTTGAACTCTCTGGTTCAACCTTGTGGATACGCGTGACCCATCCTATTCGAGATTGGGTTCGGTCCATCTAGTCCGTCCAGTCTCTGTTCAAGTCGATCGTGGTTGATCGCGATCCTGATCTCTCTTTCGAGTCGACCCATCTGGTTCGTCCGAGGTCTCTCCGTCTCTTCTTCAGATCCGTTGTCTTGCCATCGCGATCCTGGTTGATAGTGATCGTTCCTTTTGGTATGATGGTCGTCCGAGATTGGGTTCGGATCATCTTCCTCTTTGGTTGATCGCGATCGTGGTTCATCTGGTTCGCCTCCTTACAAACGCTGGTCCAGATACGTCTCTTGGACCACTCTGGTTAATTTCTCTGTTTGACCCCTCTCCTTACAGTCGCTGGTCTAGTCTATGTTTGACCACTCTGGTTAATTTGTTTTATAAAAACCTTGCTTTATTACAATGTCGGAAGATAAAATTCAAGCTATTAAATGTAAACTTACAAGTGACAACTACGCTTATTGGTCTAGTATTATGAGAAATTTTCTTCTCGGTCGAAAAAAATGGGGATATATTTTTGGTTCTATTCCTCGTCCATCGGATCCAAACAAGAAGAATATCTGCTTTCATGTGATATTTGGGATTGTGGATGATCGTATTGGGATAATGTTCTCTAAATATAGCACCGCCAAAGAGGTATGGGATTACTTGCAAAGTGTTCATCAGCAGTCGAACTTTGCCAAATGGTATGAGTTGGAAACAGCTATTTAGGGAGCTCGTCAACGGGATCTGTCTATTCAAGATTTCTACATTGAGATGACAAGCCTCTGGGATCAGTTGGCCCTTATGGAACCATCTAGCCTCAAGACACTAGACGCTTATGTTGAGTTTCAAGAGTAAGGTCGTTTAGTGCAGTTCTTAACGGCTCTCTCCCCTCAGTATGAGGCTATTCGTGGTGGCATTCTTCACCGGTCTCCTCTCTCTTCTGTGGATGCTATTGTTCGCGAGCTCCTCTCCGAGGAAACTCGTCTTAAGACGGTTAGTCAGACTCTGTCTCCATCTGTCTTCTTGGCTCCTACTTCCTTTGTTGGATTGGTATTTTTTATTTTGAAAGCCATAAAATCAACCAGGATTTGAATTTACCCTATCCCTCAGGACAATCACCTCTCTTGTTAAATTTACAATTGAGCTCCTCATGGTCAATTATGCGGCACAGATAGCAGGAATCCGATAACCTTGGCGTAGGTTGTCAAGGGTTTTTCTAGCAAATGAGAGTCCTTTGGGTAGGGTTCATTTAAATTTATCATCAGTCTGACTTTGTGGAGAGTTTCCATCAATAAAACCTTCATGAGAATCATATTTGACCTGTGCAACCTCTCTAATGGGTTGTCCAATCTTCACACTGTTTCAAGTTGTCAGATTACCTATCAGCAAATTATGTATTTATACCAAAAAAGGGGGCTATAGAGAAGTCCATCTCTACCACGGTCAAGTCCTTCCACTTTCGAAGCACCATGAGGTAACACCCACAACTGATCAAGGCACTTGTTTCATAATTCTCCGACCATCCTCCTCTTTGTTGAAAGAGAATGCATACATATTTTCATCCCCAAGTCGCGATATAGAATTCAGCTTCTGTACTCCAGAGTCCTCTTGATAAACCGTCTTGAACTCCAAATCTGCCAAGATTCTTGTCTGCAACAATCTTTCCAATAAGATGAGATTTTTTTTCTCTAGTAGGAGGTGTGGAACTTAAATCATCTAAAAATAAGGAGGGAGGTGTGTGGTGTTTGTTAGCCATGGATCTGAATAAAGAAAAGATAATAAGGTAGCAGAATCGGAGCAACAATGCACACAAAAGGAAGAGAGATGCTCTGGAAGAAGGTGACGAATAGTAAGTAGTTCAGTTTTTTGCATATGGGCTGGGGATATCCGAGTTAACAGAAGCAGGGGTATAGGAAGTGATCTGGGCTAGTTAATGGAGGGTTGGGATTCATGATATAAGGAAATAGAAGAACAAAATGTGTGATTTACCTAATGATGATGGAGGGAAACCAAGGAAATATGTGCCACTCTAGGTTTGGCCCGGTCTGGGTATTGAGATTAATTTGGCCATCCCAAATCCAATCCTAAAAAACACACAAACCCCAGACCTGCCCATTCACCATTATATATGGCTGTAAAGTGAATTTGGACCTATGAACAAATCCCTCTATTGCTGAATTATTTGTAACATGACAATCATTATCCAAGTCACATTCCTCAAAGCTTTGTTTTAATTATATAATATGATATCTATCAGGAAAAAGAAAAAACACAACTTAATGATTGGCAGATTCTTAGTATTCCAAAAAAAAAAAAAAGAAAAAAAAAGAAAAAGAAAAATAAAAAATGACACATTAATTATTTAGGGTTGGAACTTCAAACTACAATTACTACTACTACTTAAGACGTCACATTATCCAAAAGTTCAAATTCAAATTACAGAAACATCATATTGTCCAGATAGTTCTACTTTCACAAACTTGTAACCATAGGAAAACCAATGATTGCTCAAGGAACATTCCCATTCCATGGAATTCTAACATGCATAGAAGTGGTCTTTCTTCGACAGTCTCACAATAACCCCTATAGAAAACATACAAAGAAATTTGTGAACATGGTAGAAAAGACAGAAATTAAAGGACACATTTTTAAATTTCATGTAATGTTTTTAAATGATGGCATAGCCCTTTTTTTTTTTGAAATACGTAGAGTAGTAATGCCATCAAGTTAGGGATTCTCTATACCCAAAATCTTAGATTCCCTATACTTAATAAACAATCAACTGTATGATGTGCCAAGAATCTCAAAGGGGGTTGTGTGTGTGTGTGAATAATGATAGCATACATGTTGCATCAGCCCATCCAACATTGTTTGTTGTCTTTGTGAAACGAAATACGTAGAGTAGTAATGCCATCAAGTTAGGGATTCTCTATACCCAAAATCTTAGATTCCCTATACTTAATAAACAATCAACTGTATGATGTGCCAAGAATCTCGAAATACAGAAAATACAAGATGCGATCATGCGATTGGAGAGCTTTTGGATACATGGGAATAGGAGTTTTGGGTAAGAAGATATGTGCCATTCCATAAATACAAGCTAGAGTTACACGACTTCATCTAACACTAGATCACAAAAGCATTATACATAAACAATGCAATAAATCTAAAAATGTACACAAGTATAAAACTTATTGTGAAACAATACCTGATCAACTTCGGTTTCCATGTCCCCTCCTTTTTAGTCTTCTTGGCTTGTGTTGCTTCCTTCCGAAAGTCTCGATGAACCATTCGTGATACCTTGTGGTTATTGTGTGCCCAATAACCATCCCGACCACTATCCCACTAACATATCCCATGCATATGCAATCCAATCAACTGTACTTGAGAACGTTGAATCATTATCTTGTTCTGAGTTCAATGGTGGTGATGGTGGTTGTGCCTTTGACTTTCCACATTTCCTTGACAAACGGTCTCCGCACAATCCTAAATTCCCCTCGTAGGAATTGTTCTCGAATGTGTTGAATTGCTTCCCGTTTGGAATGGGTCCAATGAGATGGTTATTTGAGAGATTTAAAAATTCAAGGAAAGTGAGAAGTGCTAATTGGTGAGGAATCTTCCCTGAGAGCTTATTTTGAGAAAGGTTCAATGATTCAAGGTTTATTAGGTTCCCTAAGCATGATGGGATTCCCTCAGTAAGGTCATTGTTGGAAAGGTTGAGTAGCTGGAGCCCCTTGAGCCCCTTGAGGTTTCCGATAGATTTGGAATCTTCCCTTTGAATTTCTTGCTTGAGAAGTCAATGGCAATGAAGATATTCAAGATCTTCTCATACTCTGCATTTACCCCTTTATTTGTAATAAGCATTGTGTAGTAATAGCAATAAGCATTGTGTAGTAATAGCTGTCTTGGCTCAATATGTTGTTCTGTGCTGGGAAATTTGTGAGTGCATGCTTATATGTCATATTGTCCATGTCAAAAAAATTCATTGTGTTCCAATTTTGAAAGTAATTTACTGGAAGGTCACCTGTAAAACCATTATGAGAGAGGTCAATGATGCGCAAATTTGGTAACACCAACTTTTCAAAACTTCCTATTGCACCATAGAATTTGTTGGATCGCAAGATGAGAACTTGCAACTTTGTAAGAACTACCAACTAAAAGGGAAAAGTATCTTCAAAAAGATTATTCGAGAGATCAAGAATCTCAAGCACAGTACAACTAGCCAATGATCTTGGCACCTTCCCTTGTAATTGATTACCACTGAAGTCAACCACCTTCAATGTGTTTCCTTTATTGTACAAGTGAGGAATAGGACCACGAAAGTTGTTGCCTTTGAGATTCAGAATTGATAGAGAATCACTGAAGTTGCTCAAACATGGAGGAATAGTTCCAGCCAAGTTGTTATTAGACAAATCAAGTGTGTAAAGAAAACTCAATCAACAAAACAATGGTGGAATTTTTCCTGTCAATTTGTTGTATTAGACACTGTAAGATTGGGTGGATAATGGTGGAATTGGCAATGGTCCTTGCAACCTGTTATAGCTAAGGCTTATTATGGCTAAATTAACCCACAGAAGCATATCTGGATGTTGCTCAAAGCCTGTTAGAAAATTTTCCTTAAGGTTTAAAAGCCCCAGAGTTTCTTTACTTGTGTTTCAAAACCATGATGGAATTTGGCCATGGATATTGTTTTCCTGAAGATACAGAACCTTCAGGTCGTGTTGGAAGCGTATAAAATCTGGGAACTCCCTCAAGTTGCATGAACCTAGTAATAACATTTGAAACTTTGGAAGAGTGGAATTGGTACTGTTTTTGGTCAGCAATTTTAATTTGTTACTGGACAAATTGAGCTCAGTAAGAATTTTTAGCTTAAAAAAAATTTCAAGCGCTGAGTCGCTGAGATTATTGTAAGAAAGATAAGCAGCTTCAAGATTCTTTAGCTCAGAGAATGAGCTTGGGATTGGGCCTTGCAATATATGAAAGGAACAGATCGGTTAATTGTGTTAGGTTACCAAGTGAAGCTGGAATGGACCCTGAGAAATAGCATTCAGTGAAATCTAACGTCTTCAAGAAATTAAGATTTCCAAGGTAGCTTGCCAGAGAAACTGGTGACAGCAAGTTCTAGATCCTGAAGGGGGCTGCTTTGGTGAAATTTGGGCAAATGGCCAGTGAGATTTTCATTATAACACACACTGAGAAATTGAAGCTTTGGTAGGTGGAATATGCTTACTGGGAATTCCCCACGCAGCCCACAATCTTTTAGAACGAGAGTTGTCAAGGAAGGTAAGTTGGCCAATGTATGAGGTACTTCAGAAGATATGATCACCTTACTGAGATGAAGCTCTTTGAGGTTAGTCAACTTTTGAAGTAAGCTTCTCAGACCATACTTTTCAAGTTTCAATAGTCTTGCTTTTGATGAGTGAATACTGTAAGGAAAACTAACATCCTAAAGAGGATCAACATTGTGAGAAAGATCAAGCAAAACTAATTTTGACAATTTTGAGATCTCTGGAGGGATTTGACCTGAAAATAGAGATAGGGAAAGGTTGAGACTCGTTAACCTTGAGAGCTGGCAATTTTTTGATGGGATATGAGAGTAATTGAAGTCATTATTGGCAAGGTTAAGTCTCTGGAGGTGAACTACGCTGAAGAGGCTGCTACTTGAATTAAGAAAACCATAGAGGAAACTGCTGCTCAGGCCAAGGCCAATCACATGACCGGTGTCCCGATCACACTCGACACCATCTCATGAGCAGCAATTGCTAGTTTCTCCTTCGAGCTTCCATGATGCAACCTTGGGATAAGCAGAAGGACGACCAGAAGCAGATCCAATCCAATCCTAAAAACATTCAAACCCCAGACCCGCCCATTATGCCATTATATATGGCTTTGAAGTGAATTTGGACTGATACGTTAATATTTTATAAACTTTACACCGATGTATTTTCTCTTAGTATTATCAGTTCAAATCCCAATCCTATTCTACAATGTAAACTAGGGGGTGGAAAAAATGGTGATGTGAGGTGCATATTATCCCTATGAATGGAAGTAGATGGAGTATGGCATCTTTATCGATTTCATTTTTCACTAGCTTGACTTCCACTCACTTGTGCTTCACTAGCTTGACTTCACTCAATTGTACTGTGTGGGTTGAGAAAGATGGCTAGTGTGAATGCAATGTCAGGTACATAGGTCTTGTGATTATAAGTTATTGTAGTGTTTAATTATGAGCTATTGTGGTGGTGGAACTAATAAATAGTCAAATCAAAGTTGGTTATGTTCTGCTATGACGTTTGATTTTGTCCCAAAGTAGTGTTGTACATGATATGTTCTTTGATTATGACTAAAGTGATTTTTTATTATAATGCATATTAGTTTTAGTACTTTGATCAATGACTGAAATTTATTATATATATATATATATATATTTTAATTTAATAGTTGAAGGTAAAGATGCATATAGTATGTATATTTTTTTAGGGTGTATTGTAGAATTTCTCTCTCTCTCTCCATATATATATATATATATATATTAATACGATAATACGATGATAGACTAGTGAGAATCACTTGCACAATGGTGTGTGGAAGCTTTCATTGGTCTCTCTTGGGTAAGGAGGAAATCTTTATACCATTAGAAAGTAAGGAAGGTAACGTGTGATTTGTGTTGAATAGTAATGACAAGATGACCAAATTTTTACATTAAAAATTACATTCTAAATCACAATGACATTTATTATGTCCAATATTACTAGAAAATGTTGTTACCGTAGACAATTAAGTTTTGGAATACCTGTTCCGAAGCTTAGTATATTTTCGTTTCAAAACAATAAATTTGACGATCCAACGTATCTCAAAAGTTTGTTATAATATATTCCCTTAAGGGTTTTTTAGGAATAAAAAAAAAATAATAAGATAAAATCTAAGGTGAGTGTAATTTTAACATAACAAAACGTAAAAAATGAGTTAAAATGTGTTGCCATATGATTAATTTGGAAAAAAACTTAGATTTTATTTGATGTTTAATTGTTAAAAAAATTCTCTTGACTAAAAATATATTAAATTCTTAGAGTGCAAAGTGTACAAGTTTATTCTTATCTTACTATAATTTCGAGCATGTGGCGTAGATAATATACACTATACCACTACACATAATTTATTTAAATAAAATTTTAGTCATTACTGCATTACTAAGATGGGATGTGGGAGTGAAGGTGCAACAACTTTTTTTTTTTGGTCACAATTTGTGGGATTTTATTTTTTAATAAACCAATGACACTTAATTAGGGAGTATTTGGCATGAATTTATTATCTTGAATTAAGATACATATGTCAACTCATTAAAATCAACTTTGTCGAAAAACTTACCTGCGAAAGTTTGGAACTTGTTGGCACCAATTTTTTTTTTGTAGGAAATGGTAAATTGGTCCGGACTGGTTCGAATGATAGGATTTGGTTTGGTTTTTTTAGAAGATGGGTTGTTTCCGATTTTAAAATAACCAAGAACCGTTGATCATGGTTCTACACTCCTCTAGTTTCTTCAACTTTATTTTCCCTAGCTTTTGTTTCAAGAAGACAAACTACGTATTATCTAAATTGGATGTGCAAGTACTTCAATAGTTGAATTTCATGGTAGACGCCAACCCGTTTCTTGACCAAAGCCTTACCTGAATTCTTTTAACTCTAAGTTAGAGAGCATGTGGCGTAGATAATATACACTATACCACTACACATAATTTATTTAAATAAAATTTTAGTCATTACTGCATTACTAAGATGGGATGTGGGAGTGAAGGTGCAACAACTTTTTTTTTTTGGTCACAATTTGTGGGATTTTATTTTTTAATAAACCAATGACACTTAATTAGGGAGTATTTGGCATGAATTTATTATCTTGAATTAAGATACATATGTCAACTCATTAAAATCAACTTTGTCGAAAAACTTACCTGCGAAAGTTTGGAACTTGTTGGCACCAATTTTTTTTTGTAGGAAATGTAAATTGGTCCGGACTGGTTCGAATGATAGGATTTGGTTTGGTTTTTTTAGAAGATGGGTTGTTTCCGATTTTAAAATAACCAAGAACTGTTGATCATGGTTCTACACTCCTCTAGTTTCTTCAACTTTATTTTCCCTAGCTTTTGTTTCAAGAAGACAAACTACGTATAGTCTAAATTGGATGTGCAAGTACTTCAATAGTTGAATTCTCATGGTAGACCCCAACCCGTTTATTGACCAAAGCCTTACCTGAATTCTTTTAACTCTAAGTTAGACCTCTACCTGGTCTTCTTATGTTGTGAGTGGATCTAGGGGTGCAAATTAGGTGGACTCAACTTGAGCAATCCGAGCTTGGTTTAATTTTTTTTAGGACTTGGGCAAACATTTTGAAATTTGGTATGAGTTTGGGCAAAAATTTATTAGCCCGAATTAAATTTGAACGGACTTAGAGAAATACATCAAACAATCCCAACAACCCGAAACTCAAATTATATATATATAAATATATGAATATACATATGAATTATAGCCATTGAATGATATTAAAGTAATTTTGATTGTTAGGTCATATTGAATAAATATTATATATACAAATAACACAACACAAAATCTTTTTTTTTTCTCACTCATAAATTATAAAAAACTACCATAATGGCATCTCTTTAATATTATGTAAATTATTTATTTTGATATTATTTTATAAGAAAAATGTGAATAAAGTCTAATTTGAACAAATTAATTAACTTAGCTACTTGAAAAGAAAAAGGAAAAAAAAAGAGAAGAAATTTATGCATAATTTGGATAACTTGGGTAATTTGGGTTTGATTCGAGTCGGGCTTGGATAGATAACCTCGTTACAATTCGGGCTTTGGCGAGTCTAACCAGCTCTCAGTACAACTCAAACAACCTCTCAACCCACTCAAAGTACACCTCTCAACTCACTCAAATTACACCCTTAAGTAGATTCTTAGCAGTTTCTTTTCTTTTCTTCCCTGTATGGATTTTGATATTCTTAAGGGCAAATTACAAACACCCCCTTGAGGTTTGGTGAAAATATAAATTCTCCCCTGAGGTTTGAGAAATTACAAATTGCCCCCTGAGGGTCAAATTTTCATAACAAATTAGGGGAAATTATGGGAGAATCTGTATGGAAATAAAAACCTCAGGGGGCGAGATGTAATTTCTCAAACCTCAGGAAGGAATTTGTATTTTCACCAAATCTCTGGGGGTGTTTGTAATTTGCCCTATTCTTAATTTAGAGTTGGAGACTTTTCAAGGATAGAAGTTTGTTAAAAACTTGGTAGCCCAACTTCCTAATTTTCTTTCCAATTT